TTGGATGGATGGATGGATGGATGGATGGATGGATGGATGGATGGATGGATGGATGGATGGATGGATGGATGGATGGATGGATGGATGGACGGACCACCTTTTTGCATGAAACATTATTTTACAAGTCATATTTAAGTTTGCATTTAAGTGAGCCTTTCACTCTCATTGCATAACTTTTGTTTTTTGTTTTTGGTATATTTACTGTTTTCAAAGCTTTTTCTACTGCTGAAAGATAAACATTTTAATGAAATCAAATAAGCAATTTGTATTTGCCATGTTTTAATATTAACTTTTATATTAAAAAGAAGAGTAATATCTGCGGTAGAGAGCAATTTCTGTATACCATGGGATAGCTGACCTCCCTTGACAGCTCCAGCAGTGGTACAGGAAAACAGGAAACTAACTGACTGCTGCATTATTCACCTTCTTCCTTTCATCTTTTTTCCATCCCCCTCTGCACTCCTAAACAACCTCTCTCATTGAACCTCACCCTACCATGTTTTCATCCTCCACTTCTCTGTGTTATAGGGCCTGAATTTCACCTTCATCTGATTGCTCTTGTTCCTTCACCTTCATCTTCACCTACCTTTCTCTATATGACCGTGCCCTTTCTTTTTGTTCCGTCTGAAGCTGAGTTATGTAAGCGTGTGAGCAAGACTGAGGGCAAAGAAAACGTTTAAAACTGGAAAAGCTGCAAACAACCTCAGTAAGAGTCAAAGTTTACTAGTAAACCCAGTTGTTTTACCCTAATCTATTTATGCTTAATTTAAAGCAATTATAGTATTGTCATGTGAATGGGAGTGGTGGCACAGGGGTTAGAGAAGGTGGGCCTGTGATCGGAAGATTGCTGGTTCAACTTCTGGTACCGACAAGATCAAAATGTGGGTGGGATTGGTGAAGCATCCACACCTTTCTCCACCCTCATTTGCCCCACTCTGGGCCCTTGAGCAAGGCCCTTAATCACCCCATCTTCTCCCCCGGGCGCCCTAGATAGCAGCTCTCTGCTCCACACAGAGGGCTGTGGTAGCTCAGTGGTCTGTGGTTGCGTCAGGAAGGGCATCCGGCGTAAAAACAATTGCCAAGTCTTCATGAAACTCAGTTCACTATGGTGACCCCTGATGAAGGGAGCAGCCGATTGAAGAAAAAAAAGTGTTATCCTGTGAACATGAAATATCAACTCTGAAGCAATAACAAATGTGCTAAAAGAAAGTTTAATATTGAACAAAACTTTTTTTTTTTTTTTTTTGCTATTGCAAATTTATATTATTCAGTCAGTCTTGAAGTGTTGATATACTGTACCCAGGGCTTAATTTGAGCCGGATCCTGCCGAAACAAAATCCGGGAATTCTCTTGTTTTGTCAGGGTGCCTTCCGGCAACTGTTTGCTTGGATCCGACAACTCCCAGGCTTACTAGTAATAATGTTATGAACAAATATGGCTGTCTTGTCGTTTGGGAAGCTATGCTTGAACGGTGTCGCTCCCCTCTGCTGCTGCAGCGATAAATAAATACTTTGTAGTTCCGACACCTCCTCAGTCCTCCGCTGCTGTTTTTATGACACTGGATGCTTGTCACTCACAGCACGCATGTAACAAAGAGTGAACTCAAAACAAGAGTGATAGCTACCCCCTCTTTTCCTCTTTCGCGTTGACAAAATTTTTTTGTTTTATTGAAGAGTTTGTCAAAAAACAATTTAGAAGTTTTTTTTTTTTTGTAAGTACAGAAATTCATTCAACCTTTATTTATACAGGTTAATCCCATTGAGCCTACATACAGTAATGTTTAATACATGTTAGGACACTATTCTTTGCTAACAAAATATATTTTATGTCATTAAACAACTTCTCAGGTTCTTCTCTTGTGAGCATGCACGTCGCCCCGGACCCCCCACCTGCTATTTGCGGTCAGGCATCGATCGGTTTACAAATTAAGCCCTGACTGTGCTGTAGTTCTGTACTACAAAGCATGGAAGGTTTTATTTTTGTTCAATAAGTTGTGTACAATCTGATATTGTTTAAAAAACTACAAAGAACAGCAGCTCAAGTTTAAGTTCACAATGATGAACTGCAGCTACATCTTTTCAGATGTCTTGTAAAGACTCCCCTCGCTTAAAAGGTCACACAACCTGGCCAACATGTAATTGTTTATTGGCCTTTAATTTCTTCCTCCAGGATTTGATATTCTTTTAATACCTGGCTTCTCTATAATGATCCTTCAGAGAGACAACAAAGAGGAGAGAAAAGACAGACAGGCAGTTGAACGAGCGAGAGAGAAAAAGACAGACTGAGATTGATAAACAGATTAGAAATAAGATTCATGTCACAGAAGGAAGTTAGACAAGGAGAGAAATGAAGAAAAACAAGACTATATACAGATCCATATCAGATACTCAGAGGCTTGTTTTTCAGTATAACATCAAAGCTGTTACGCTCCTTCTTTCATAGGTCAGACTGTACTTTTTTCAAGCCTCTATCCCTCTTTTCCATTTTCTTTGAACAAGTCAAATATATCAATTGACATTTAAGAGAACGAGTTGAAAACAGGGATTTACGACAACCAAATAGCAAGTGCAATGTTTTATTAACTGTGGTATGATGAAACACGAGCATCATACTGAAAAACTAACTCTGCTGTTTAAATGTTTGTTGTAAGAACTTGTACCCTATTCATTCAAATTACATAAATCAAATTCTAATGATATAGTTTTAAATGTGGATTCTTGTGTTTGTGAGCAATTAGTCATTTTTCCAGTTCAGCCTCTTTGTTTTGCTTTTGCTTCAAGTATTAGTATCAGTACGATGATAAATAGTTTATTTTATGTCCACAGAGATAAAAGCTGCATTTTGAATTTGAGTAATGATTTTTTTTTTGTATGTGCCATGATTGATGTAGGTTGTATTATTTAGGATAAAAGCTTTTCTTTTTTAAGATGTGAACTTCTGCATTCTTTCAAGTACCATCAGCTTGATTTGGTGTTTTACTGAACAGCACATGCACAGTTAGAAGAGGTGGAATCATATGAACTTCCATTTTAGACATCTGTGTTTTGCATATATACATCTGTGGGTTTTCATGTATATGCATGTTCCTACATTCCTTGTACAAAATGTCCAAGTGAGTGTGAAGCAGAACATATACATATGTTCTTGAATGTACAGTGTGTGTGTGATACAGTATGTATATCTGTGTTTAAAACAGAAAAAAGATAGAAAGTACAGTCCTGCATGTTTGTACAAATCAATACAAGTTCTCATTACTTCATGCGCACACATTTGTTTATGTGTGGGTTTGGAGAGCAGAGCTCTCCCACACTGACCTTTGCCAAGAAGAATATGTGTTCCTGAATTATTACTGTGTTTGGCAATCTGTTCATACCACAGATCTGCTCACATGCACTAATATCTGATGAAATCTATTTAAGCAGATTGTGCTCTAAATGAACATAATTAATAGGTTGTTAACACAATGGGAAAATAATGAGACTCAGTTGAATGCTGATCTGTTAAAGTGCACATATTTTCAGTCTTATTTTTTTAAATACCTATGGATTACATGCCTATCTGTAGATCGCTTCAGGTTGACATAGCGTATAGCTTATTGTTTTGCTAGACCAGCTTGCAGCTTTACAGTTTTACAGACAGCACATTTCAAACTAAAGCTCTAAAACCCAGCTTTACTCTCACTACCAGCTAGACAGACAGAGTCAACATTTCATTTTGGAGTTGGTGGAAACTAAAAGCTAGTGAGAACACATACTAAAAATCTAATCACATCTATTTAGTTTCCAGAAACACAACTTAAAATGATGTGTATGTCCGTTTAAAGTTTAGAAGACAGCTTTTTATTATAAGTCATCCCATATTTCTTCAGTGGTGATTATGTTTAAGCTTGCATTTGCTAACCCTAATGAGACAAATTAGTAATTACAACAAACTTTTTATGTGCATACTGTAACATGTATGTCTCATTTGTAACAACTCAATTAGGTGCCAGATGCCATTCAGAAGTGCCAGCGTGCAGGGATCACTGTGCGCATGGTGACTGGAGACAACATAAACACAGCCAGGGCTATAGCCATCAAATGTGGTATCATCCATCCAGGAGAGGATTTTCTCTGCATTGATGGCAAAGAGTTCAACAGGAGGATCCGCAATGAGAAAGGAGAGGTACTGGGATTTTTTTTTGATTGAAAGACGGGCAAATAATATAAAAGCTCAATTAAAATAAATAAATAAATCAGCTATCACCTGGCTCTTTATTTCCAACTGTTTGTTTGTTTTTATGTACGTGTGCATGTCTAGGTGGAACAGGAACGAATTGACAAAGTATGGCCTAAACTCCGTGTCCTGGCCAGATCCTCCCCCACTGACAAACATACACTTGTCAAAGGTGAATGGACACCAGATTTTTATTTGACTGATTATAATTTAAATGCATTTATTATATATATATATATATATATATAACCTTTATGTTGTCCTGTGTGACTTTGTCAGGCATTATTGATAGCACAATGACAGATCAGAGACAGGTTGTGGCTGTGACGGGGGATGGGACCAATGATGGACCTGCTTTAAAGAAAGCAGACGTTGGATTTGCCATGGTAAGAAAAACAGCTTTTATATAATTTCTTTTTCTTTTTCTTGTTTGAATCATATGCATCCATATAAAAATGATCTCAGTGAACATCTATGAGATGCCTTTTCAAGCTCTGCAATATTAAGGCTTTCTTCTCATGAACTCTTCTTGTTTGTTCAGTGTGGGAGCGCTCCCTGGTGGTTTGGTAGTTTCACACAACTTCTTACTACTGGGAAAAGCTTACCAGGCTTCTAAGGCCACAGTCATTTTAAATCCACTTAAAATGTACATTTTGAAATTCCTTATTCAAAATAATAATTTTATTATTGTTTCCTTCCGTCAGTTATCATTTTTCAATATTTAATGTATGTTTGATTTATCAATAAATGTTTCACCAGTTTCCCATCCTTCTGCATTGTGACCTCTGCATTTAAACAAGCTTTCTTTTGACACATTCCTTCATTCCCTTACCTACTGGCAACCGCAGAGATGTCCCTTGACTAAGATTAGCCAGGAGATAAATTTAAACTTCACCCTTCAATCTCTGAATAGTTTTAAATAGCATTTAAAGATGCCAAACTCTCCCACACCAGTCACCTTGTCTTTATTACAGTTTTTGTTTTTTTTAGTATGCTGCCTACGTTTTCTGTATTCTGTAAATTGTATTTCACATTTTTGACAGGCTTTGACATGCTGTGTTTAAAGGATTTGGAAATTTAAGAAAAGTAAAGAAAAATAATTTTCTTTCCTATTGCAGCTTATTATTTATTACTCTTTCAGGGTATAGCTGGTACGGATGTGGCCAAGGAGGCTTCAGATATCATCCTCACTGATGATAATTTCAGCAGCATTGTGAAAGCAGTTATGTGGGGCCGAAATGTCTACGACAGCATTTCCAAGTTTCTTCAGTTCCAGCTTACTGTCAACGTTGTGGCTGTTATTGTAGCCTTTACTGGTGCTTGCATCACACAGGTAAGAAGTTGGTGTCCATGTGCAAGCAACAGTTGTACTTATATAAACCTTTACCAACTGTTAATGGCATCCTTCATGATGGCTTAGAACTGCAGTTTGTCACATCAGATCAAAATAAATTAAATAATTATTTATTTCTGAAGCTAATACAGTTATGAATGCAGGTTTAATATAGAAAATGTTAAGTTTTGTTGGAAGAGTTTGTTTTGAGCAAGAGTTGTTTTATTTCCACAGGATTCTCCGCTCAAAGCAGTGCAGATGTTGTGGGTGAACCTAATCATGGATACTTTTGCGTCTCTGGCCCTGGCGACAGAACCTCCTACGGAGTCTCTGCTGAAGAGGAAGCCGTATGGCCGCAATAAGCCTCTCATTTCCAGCACTATGACCAAGAACATCTTAGGACATGCAGTTTATCAGCTCGTCCTCATCTTCACACTGCTTTTTGTCGGTATGTACAATTTATTTTTGCAGTTTGATTTCAACATGACACAAAACAGGCTGAAATCAAACGACATCACATACTTTGTTCCTCTAGGAGAGAAGATATTTGATATTGACAGTGGCCGTGATGCTCCTCTTCACTCTCCACCTTCCGAGCATTATACAATCATCTTCAACACGTTTGTGATGATGCAGCTTTTTAATGAAATCAATGCTCGCAAAATACACGGAGAGAGAAACGTGTTTGATGGTATCTTCAAGAACCCAATCTTCTGCTCCATTGTTTTTGGCACATTTGCAGTACAGGTAAAAGACAAAAAAAAAAAAAACATTTTCCCATAATTATTACTTTGGTACTTAAAAGAATACTTAGCTTTGGTTAGTTATAAGACATTTATTGTATTCCTGTACTTAATCAATAGTATTGTGTTTTAAAGTAACTATCCATCCATTTTCTTCCGCTTATCCGGGGTCGGGTCGCGGGGGTAGCAGCCTAAGTAGGGAGGCCCAGACTTCCCTCTCCCCAGCCACTTGGGCCAGCTCTTCCGGGGGAATCCCGAGGCGTTCCCAGGCCAGCCGAGAAATATAGTCCCTCCAGCGTGTCCTGGGTCTTCCTCTGGGCCTCCTTCCGGTGGGACATGTCTGGAACACCTCACCAGGGAGGCGTCCAGAAGGCATCCTAAACAGATGCCCAAGCCACCTCAACTGGCTCTTCTCGACGTGGAGAAGCAGCGGCTCTACTCTGAGTCCCTCCCTGATGATCGAGCTTCTCACTCTATCTCTAAGGGAGAGCCCAGACACCCTGCGGAGAAAACTAATTTCGGCCGCTTGTATCCGAGATCTCATTCTTTTGGTCACAACCCAAAGCTCGTGACCATAGATGAGGGTAGGAACGTAGATCGATCGGTAAATTGAGATCTTCGCCTTTTGACTCAGCTCTCTCTTCACCACGACAGACCTGTACAGTGCCTGCTTCACTGCAGACGCTGCACCTATCTGCCTAGCGATCTCACGCTCCATTTTTCCCTCATTCATGAACAAGACAACTCCTCCACTTGGGGTAGGACCTCCTCCCTGACCCGGAGAGGGCACTCTACCCTTTTCCGGCTCAAGACCATGGCCTCGGATTTGGAGGAACTGATCTTCATCCCGGCTGCGTCGCATTCGGCTGCGAACCGCTCCAGCAAAAACTGTAGATCACGATCTGATGAAGCCAATAAGACCACATCATCTGCAAAAAGCAGAGACGCAATCCCAAGGCCACCAAAACGGATCCCCTCAACACCTTGGCTGCGCCTAGATATTCTGTCCATAAAAGTTATGAACAGAATCGGGGACAAAGGGCAACCTTGGCGGAGTCCAACTCTCACCGGGAACAAGCCCGACTTACTGCCGGCGATGCGGACCAGGCTCTGACACCGGTCATAGAGGGACCTAACAGCCCGTATCAAAGGTCCCGGTACTCCAATACTCCCAGAGTACCCCCCTCAGGGTTCCCCGAGGGACTCGGTCGAACGCCTTCTCCAAGTTCACAAAGCACATGTAGACCTGTTGGGCAAACTCCCACGCACCCTCCAGGACCCTGCTGAGAGTGTAGAGCTGGTCCAGTGTTCCCCGGCCAGGACGAAAACCGCACTGCTCCTCCTGAATCTGAGGTTCGACTATCTGACGGACCCTCCTCTCCAGAACCCCCAAATAGACCTTACCAGGGAGGCTTAAGAGTGTGATTCCCCTGTAGTTGGAACACGCTCTACGGTCCCCCTTTTTGAATAGGGGGACCACCACCCTGGTCTGCCAATCCAGGGGAACTTCTCCCGATGTCCCCGCAATATTGCAGAGTCGCGTAAGCCAACACAACCCTACAACATCCAAAGCCTTAAGGAACTCCAGACGAATCTCATCCACCCCTGGGGCCCTGCCACCGAGGAGCTTTTTAACCACCTCGGTGACCTCAGCACCAGAGATTGGAGGGCCCGACCCAGAGTCCCCAGGCTCCGCTTCCTCAGTGGAAGACGTGCCGGTGGGATTGAGGAGGTCTTCAAAGTATTCCACCCACCAACCCACAACATCCCGAGTTGAGGTCAGCAGCACACCACTCCCACTATAAACAGTGTTGGTGGCGTACCGCTTTCCCCACCTGAGACGCCGGATGGTGGACCAGAATCGCCTAAAAGCCGTGCAGATGTCATTCTCCATGGCCTCTCCGAACTCCTCCCATGCCCGAGTTTTTGCCTCAGCGACCACCCGAGCCGCATGTCGCTTGGACTGCCGGTACCCATCAGCTGCTTCCGGGGTCCCACAGGCCAAAAAGGCCCGATAGGACTCCTTCTTCAGCCTGACAGCATCCCTCACCGACAGTGTCCACCATCGGGTTCGAGGGTTGCTGCCGCGACAGGCACCGAGAACCTTGCGGCCGCAGCTCTGGTAAGCCGCCTTGACAATAGAGGCACGAAACATGGTCCACTCAGACTCAATGTCCCCCACCTCCCTCAGAACATGTTCGAAGTTCTCCCAGAGGTGACACCATTGAGGTGACATTCCACGTCCCAATAGCCGGCTTCTGTAGCCGAGGATCAGACCGCCAGGGTCCCCGCCCTCGGCCACCACCCATCCCACATTGCACCGACCCCTTTGGCCCCTCCCTCAGTTGGTGAGCCCATGGGAAGGGGGACCCACGTCTCCTCTAAAGTAACTAGAACAAAGTAATTTTCTTTTTTTTTTCTGTATTGTTTGTGTAGATTGTGATTGTACAGTTAGGAGGGAAGCCCTTCAGCTGTCAGCCTCTGAACCTGGAAAAGTGGATGTGGTGCGTTTTTCTCGGAATGGGAGAGCTTGTCTGGGGACAGGTAACTTCCATGTTTCTCTGTCTCTACATCCATTTTCCCGGTCTTGCTTGTTTTCTTGCTTCCATTCTAGTCTCTACATTATTCTTGAGAAGAACTCTTCTTTTTTGTTAGGCGATAGCTTCCATACCAAACAGCAAGCTGCGCTTCCTGCGTCGGGCTGGCCAGTTAACTCAGAAAGATGAGTTACCGGAGGAGGATGTAAATGAGGAAAACGAGGAGATTGACTATGCAGAGAGGGAGCTGAGGAGAGGACAAATCCTGTGGTTTAGAGGGCTAAACCGCATTCAGACTCAGGTGAGAATTTAAATACCTCAAATGATTTTGTGAACTTAATTTTATCTAGAAGAAAGAATGCCTGCATTTCTTAAAACTTGATTTGAGCATGTATTTTCTAAAATATATGTTGCTTTTTATTATTATTATTATTATTATTATTATTATTATTATTATTTACAAATAAATCAAAAAAGTTATTTATCTCCCATAAATAAACACATAAAGGTTAACATTTCACTTGTGATCCATTCTTTAATAATGATTTTTTTTCTTCTGTTTTTGTCATATAAACATTATTTAGTATCAGTTTAACTGTGATATTATTTTAAAAGGATCTAACAAGGTTGAGTCGGATCCTCTGGATGGGTTCTTCTTTGTTGAAACGTTTCATCTTTTCTTCAGTCTGAGGAACTGCAACAAACTCAGTCTTAGAAATAGCACCTTCTCATAGTGGATCAACCAGTTTGCTGCTGACAGACAAACTAGCTGTTCACATGATCAAGGAGGACCATCAGCCTAACAATTGATTGTTAGCACCCTGATGGCTGTTTGCTGTTCACAAAGGACTGAGTGATATTTGCATTAACAGCATTATAAGGTGACAAGTGGACATGGAGGCCTCTGCCCCTGTTTAACAGTGAACGAGTTCTCCACAAAGATGGCTTCCTTCACTCTTCTCTCAAACCATGAATGACAACCTCAGCTGGAGCAACAACACCACCAGCCTGATCAAGAAAGCTCATCAGAGACTCTACTTCCTCAGACGGCTGAGGCGAGCTGGTCTGGGAAGCTCAGTCCTCACCTCCTTCTACAGGTGTGCAGTGGAGAGCATCCTGTGCTCGAGCATCAATGTGTGGCATGGAGGCTGCACAACTGCAGAAAGAAAAGCTTTGCAGAGAGTGGTGAAGGCTGCACAGAAATCTGTTGGAATCAGCCTCCCCACCATCACAGACATCTACACCTCCAGATGCAGGAAGAGGGCCACCTGCATCATGAAGGACCCCACCCACCCAGCACACACACTTTTTGCCCCACTCCCCTCAGGAAGGAGGTTAAGGAGCATTAAGTGTAGAACCACTAGACTGAGGAACAGCTTCTACCCTGAGGCTGTTAGACTCATGAATCTCTAACCAGAATAATCACAGTGAAAAATCACATCATGCTGCTGATCTGTTTCATGTTGCTGCTGATCTGTTTCAATGTTGATGTGTTCATGCGTGCACATCTGCTCACAGACTCATGTTCATGTTTGTGCTGATGTTCAATGTTTTATGTTATGAGTGCTTAGTGTATATTTAGTTGATGTTTTTCTTAGTTCATATCTTAGATGTTATTACTGTTTTTCTTAGACATTTTATTGTTGGATGTAACTGGGACCCTGTGTACATAATTTCGCTCCACCACATGTACCACATGAGGTGTGAATGACAATAAAGAAACTCTGACTCTGACTCTGACTCTGATCATTCCTCTCTGTGAAGGATGTGAACATCTTCATCCCTCAACGAGAGACCGCTGGCCTACAGATGAGTGTAGACCGCAGAGTCCTGGCCTGATGTTGTTGATCTTCTGTGCTGGGCCATCCTTTTGGCCAGTGGCTGTTTAGTTTCCCCGATGTAAGACTGATCACAGCCCTCCTGACACTGAACAGCATACACAATATTACTCTGGTTGTGCTGGGGGACTGGATCTTTGGGATGAACCAGTCTTTGTCGTAATGTATTTTGGGGTTTAAAAGCCACTGGGACGTCATGTTTAGAAAATAAGCGTCTCAGTTTCTCTATAACTCTCGCAACATAGAGAATGACCACTGGTCTGGGTCTGGGTTCCTCCTTTTCACCTGATGGCTGGAGTCCTGCTTGGGTTTCTTCTCTGCTTTCAGGAAGGCCCAGTTAGGATATCCACATTGCTGCAGGGCCTGTATTGTTTGGGATTTCTCCTTTTCCCTGGCTCTCGATTTTGTGGGAGTCCTAAATTTTTGTAGAGTCCTGATGACTCCTAACTTGCTCTCCAGCAGGGGATGGAAATCAAACCACAAATACTGGTCTGTGTGGGTGGGTATGCGGTACACATCAGTGTTCAAATGTCATCCATCAGAAACTGACCTCACTGTCCAAGAAAGCCAATCTGCCATTTTTTACATCTTCTTGTGTGAACTTGATGTATTTATCCACAGAGTTGATGTGGTCAGTAAAATGTTGGACTTCCTGAGATTTAATTTTAACCCAGGTGTCATCAACATACCTGAACCAATGACTCAGTGGTGTCCCTGAAAAGGACACCAAGGCTCTCTTTTCTACCTCCTCCATGTCCAGGTTGGCAACAATAGGAGAAACTGGGGGGACCCCATACTAGCACACCCATGTTTCTGTCTATAATATTTCCCCCTATATGTGAAGTAGGTTGGTTTAAGAGAGGAGTAAAGGAAGCCATCTTTTGGAAGAGAACCTGCTCGTTGTTAAACTGGTCCAATTGTCTCTCTCTAATAATACTACTATTGCAAGTATCACTCATCCCTCTGTGAATAGCAAGCGGGCATCAGAGCTCAAACTATTGATCGTTAGGCTGATAGTCCTCCATTTTCATGTTATCAACTAGTTTTGTCTGTTACCAAAAAACTTGTTGATCCACTATGAGAAGGTTTTGCTTAAGACTGTTTGTTGCAGCTCCTCAGACTGATTTTGGACAAAAGATTAAACATTTCAACAAAGAACCTGTCCAGAGGACCAGACTCATCCTTAGTAGATTTGTCTACCTGGATTATTGAGCATGCATCAGGACATTTTTAAAAGAATATTCTCAAATGAAATGCTAGAGATTATGACATTCTATGTTCATCTCAGTCACAGGCCTAAAGTCATTTTATCTTAAGATGACTTATTTAGGAACATGAAGACGCAGATTTTCCTTGGTGGACGGCAGCAATCACCTTTGTGGACTGTTGGACAATAAAACTTCAACTTTTAATACAACAGGAAACAGTTCCTGTTCTGTTGTCACTGTGATCACCTCTGCAGACCGATATCACTGTGATTCTCAGGACACATTTTTGTTTTTGTGTTGAACCTGGTTTCATCTTAATGTTTTTTTCTGAAATTGTCCCATGACATGGTACAATTATAAATAGCAGCCAAACTTGACAATAAAAAATAAAGTAGAATCTAATCTGGGTTTGCAAGGGAAGGTTTTTCAGCTAATAATTGGCAACATTTTTGATTTTATCTCTGCCACTGCTTTGAATGTCTTAGTCAGTAATGTCATTAGTATTACCACTTTTGTATTAGTATTAGTATTACAGCATAAGTTTTGCCACCATTTAACAGGAAAGACTACATATTTATGTATAGTTTACACTGACTATGAAATAAAACAAGAAACACACAATTTGTATTAAACACTATTTTTCTCTTTACAATATGCAGCAAAAGATTTGGAAGTTGTTATGAGTGTAATTAGAAATCTCCATAGATGGCAGGAAGCTAATCAATTGCAATGTGATCATTTTATTTGTTGTTGCCGTGTTGTCCAGGTGTGACACCTGGTTCAGAGGAACCACATTGCTTCTGTGTCAGACAAAATACAGACATCACATGAACTCAACATAAGCTTGTTATTGATTAGATGTTTCTTTTTGTGTGAGACGTTTTGTTTATGTGGGGGTACCATTCCCTGACCTTTACCCCCATCCCCATGTGTCATGACTGCAACACCCAGCCTGTCAATCTATGTTGCCATTTGGTTCATGTCACTCTGAGCAGCCATTTGTCCTCTCCTGTCCCGCTCTCCCCCCACAGATTGATGTAGTCAACACCTTCAAGAGTGGCACCTCATTTCAGGGGGCAGGGGCTCTGAGACGCCAGTCATCCACCACCAGCCAGACCCAGGATGTAACCAATGTTTCTAGTCCTAGTCACGTGTCCTTGTCCAATGCCCTTTCCTCTCCTACAAGCACTACTGCTACTACTGCTCCTTCCACTACTGGCCGTGAGTCAGAACTCTGTCAGTCTGCTTGTCTGCTTTCTTTACTTCAGGGGTGCCATCCAGTCCTGAGCAATCATTTCTAGATAAAAATCATCTTTAAATGAATTACCACAAGTTTCTTCATTCTAATGTTGGCATCTCTGAAGATTTATTTTATCTCTCGCTGCTTTTTCATTTTCTCTCTTCTACTGTCTTTTTTGATGTTCACTCTGGATTTCAAATTCATCTTGATATCTCCTCCCATGGTTGATTGTACTGTCTTCTCATTGGTCAATGTGTGTTTGTTTCCCCAGAGTGCTAGGAGCACAGGACTAAGAGTGATACCCACGGCGTGACATTTCAGGTTGTGAGTTTGTCTCCCTCTGCTCATCTCCCCTACATCATCCTATCTGTCAGTCCTGTCGTTTTTATTTCTTGACAAATGTTAATGTTCACTAATTCAATAAACTCACAAAGGGTCTGGGTGAACATACAAGTATAAGTAACACTGCTGACTTGGTTTATCTATGTTGTTTTTTAATGATGCAACGATGACACAAAACAAAACACATTCTGCTTTATATATTTCCATTAGTTTATCAAACTTCACGGAAGCTGCTCTGTGGTTTAAAATACTCTAAATTCAGTTTATTTATATAGCGTCAAGTCGCAACAGAAGTCATCTCAGGGCACTGAACAGTACATGCTCATGCAGACAGAAGTAAGTTATCAATAAAGCTTAAAACTGTTAGTTTTCCTCACACAACACTGCCTGAATTACTGTAGTAACAACTCTATTATGGTGAAAAACTAGCAGACCACCTGCCCCCTTGCATGCCAATGTTTTAAACATAAAGCATTTGTTAGCATTCAGCATCAGTGATGAGATGACTCTCAGCTACTACCTCATCAAGTATTAGATCATATCTGTAAAACTGTCAGAATCTTAGCAAATTTTGTTTGCCAAATTTGATTGGCTGTGGGGGCAATCTTAAATCATCCAAAAATGAATCAGTCGATAGACATCCATTAATACATTTATGTGAGATTCAATGAAACTGAATATGGATTCAAAGATCTCACACAGTGTAGATGGTGAAAGGATCCAAGTATTTGCAATAGTGCTGTTAGAAATGGTATTGTTGAACAGTTTACTCAGTTTGTTTTACCTTTATAAAGATTCAGCCCCTCTGGGATTCTTTTTGACTTGCCACTTATTGATTGATGGTTTTTGTGGGAGTGGTGGCGCAGAGGTTAGAGAAGGTGGGCCTGTGATCGAAAGATCTCTGGTTCAACTCCCAGTACTGACAACATCAAAATGTGGGTGTGATAGGTGAAGCACCCACTCCTGCCTCCACCCTCATTTGCCCCACTCTGGGCCCTTGAGCAAGGCCCTTAACCCCTACCATCTGCTCCTCTGGATGCCCTAGATAGCAGCTCTCTGCTCCACACAGAGCGCTGTGGTAGCTCGGTGGTCTGTGGTTGTGTCAGGAAGGACATCCAGAGTAAAAATAATTACCAAGTCTTTGTGCAACTTAGTTTGCTGTGATGACCCCTGAAGAAGGGAGCAGCCGAAAGAAGAAGAAGAAAAAAAGTTATTGATTCATGGTTTAATCAACGGGAAAAAAAACAAAAAAAAAACAGAAAATTGATACAGAAAATATTGTTTTCCAGAAGTGCTGATGAAATTCACAGTGAATTAGAAGAACACCCTAACATTATTCACTATTGTACTATATTATATTAAGAACATTTAGATGTTTAGATGCCTCACATCTGTTTGGGACTTATACTTGAGTGTTTACTTTGACATGCATGGAGTTGAAACAACCTTTAACAGTCAGAGCTCTGACAATAAAACGTCTTTTCATCATTCATCTCCTTTTGTTTTATGTTTGTTGGTCTTGTGCCAGTGTCCAGTTTGTTTCTGTGCATGTAGTTTGTTTTGACCTCATGTGTGTTCATTATGTTTTATCTGCTGTGTTTGCTTGTCGTCTCAAGGACACCTTTTTGTGTTTTCTCTTTTCTGTCACTCTTTCTTTGGAGCTGTGTTTTATTGGTGTGAGTTTTGTTTACACTGCGATGCCTGTGTTGAGCAAATCTCATGCAGACTTGACTCGCTCCATTTGGGACCATGCTTCTCCCACTTTGTGCTCCATTTGTGTGTTTGCGTGTTCTACTCAGAGTCTGTGTGGATATTGTCCCAGACAGTGCTCTGGTATCACCAGAAGTTTTGAAACCGCCTCATTGGATCTCTCAGATCTAACCTTCTTCTTTCTTACTGACCTCGTCCACCAGATTTCTTCAAAACTGCATGTGATATTGTCCTTTAATTTTCTGTAAGCATCTCATTTATTAATGTGGCTTGTTTCTAGGTATACAGCACATTGGACTAAAGCGTATACTTACAACGAGCGTTTGTGTTGCTTTGGTTTTTCCTGAAATGTATGATTTTCTTGTGTTCTTTATGATTACGTTCCTCACAGTTTTCCTTAGTGCACGCCAAAATTGAGTGACTTGTGAACTGTAGTCATCATGTGCAAGCAGAACACAGACTGCAGTTGCCTTTTCTCTCGTTTCTTCACTTTTCTCCACCTCCGTATCTTCAAATTAGAGGATTGTTTTCCTCTTCTTTGTCCCTTCCTTTTTCAACTTTCTTTTTTCTCTCATTCCAAGGTTCCCTACAACCAGTTCAACGAATATCTATTATAACCTCTCGTGATTTTTTTTCTTTCTTTATCTGTTTTTCACAACAGATCCGAGTTGTGAATGCATTCCGTAGTTCCCTTTATGAAGGCCTTGAAAAACAAGACTCCAGGACATCCATACACAACTTCATGACCCACCCAGAGTTTAGGATAGATGACTCCACACCCAGCATCCCGCTTATTGACGACATGGACGATGATTCTGCCCGGAAGAGGAGCAAGTACTCCAGTCAGCCCTCATCTCCCAACAAGAACAACAACGCCATCGACAGTGGCATCAACCTCACAATCGACATCAGTAAATCTGCTGCGTCCTCCAGCCCTGCCAGTCCTCTACACAGCTTGGAGACCAGCCTCTAACCCCAACGCTAAACTCAGCTCTAACCTCTGAAGTCATTCCCCTGCAGTCCGGGGACGCCTCTTGCGGCTTGTCCAAACCTGTAACTGCTACTGTACACCCTATCACCCAGTTCTCACCAGTCAACACTCTAAAGCACCATTCACCCCTGAGCCAGGTCAGCTCCTGTGGAACAATTCATTCATTCCATAAAACTTTCCTCTCCTTTAAAAAAAACGGAGCAATTCTTAATGATATGGCAAGATTAAAATAAAAAAGAGCTATCATACAATCTATAAAGCTCAATAAAGCCACACAACCTACACAGCCATCCTGCTTTTGTGGTTGCATGTGTACGGTGGCAGCCTTGATGGATTGTAAGACTCTACGCTTGTACTGGTTAGCATGTACTGTATGAGCGTGCAGCCGACTGCACATCTGGATGAACTGTGTCTGCAGTGACACCTGGAGGAGAACAATAAGGAGGGAGACCACCGAGGAGTGTAGACCGCAAAACAGACTTTCTGCTCTCCTGAAACTCCTTTTCTTCAGTAATAATATTGTTAATACAGATACTGTAATAGTTTAATTTAAATTGAAAACTGTTGTTATTATTCTAACTCTGGTTCTGATTATTATTGCTATTATTCCTATTGGTCCTGCATGAATGTACATTACCCAAGTTTATTTAAGAAAGTTTTATTTTATTTAAGTCATTTGGTTCTGACGGGCTGGGCCTCACAGCAGACTGCACATTTAAAAACAGCTTCTCTGAGCTCCTGGCCTGCAAAGTTCCCTCTTCTGTGTGGCATGAACATGTACTGGACTCTAAAGAATTATATCACCCATAAGCAGAAGCGTGTCTGGAGGTGGGAGGGCGAACTTGCACAGTAGTTTTGCACCTGTTGAAAAAGGGGAACGCAAAATAAAAATAGCGGGCGATAGCATTTATGGGATATATTCTATACATATAAATTCATAAAAATATATTTAGAGAGAGTTTATCTTTGTTGGCATGTTGCCTTGTTTCTGCTTTAATGGCTCAAGTTACTTTGAATTATTTATGTCTTAAACAGAATGTAATTGTTTACAACCTCGTAGAGATCAATTTCCTGGTTTTTAAAAGGAGGAGGAAAAAGTTGGAGCTCCAATTTGTGTTGACATCATTACAGAGAAAAAAATGAACGTGCTGGAAATTGCCTGCTATATTGTTAGACAATGTAGATATTTTTAGAGGATTAACAACAAAAAGAAACCAAAATACAAAGAGATGCATAGTACAGTACATGTGAAATCTTAGTATTACTCTAAATGATTGTTGGGATCAAATAAGAGCGGCTTGCCTTTCTTTATTTTCTTAATGAACGCCTCCTTTTTGTGACAGAGGAGGACATTTGATTCTTTTATCAATAGGTTTGTTTAAAACTGTTAAATTGTCTTTGCTTCAGCACTGACCTGGGGCCAGCGTTGAGTAAATGGTTGATATTTATTGATTGATTTACTGAAGGTCGAAGATTGATTGATTTACCTGTCCTGTAGGACAACCTGCCGAGGACTTAATGTTTAAAGATCTATGTGACCATTCAGAGGCTTAAAGTACCACAAGAAAAGCAGACATTTTTTGTTTCAAACTTGCAATATATATATATATATATATATTTTTTTTTTTCATTATTTTGGTTGGATTATTTATTTTTTTCATCTAGATACATGCAACCTCACTACGCTGTTGGCATTTTTAACATCTATCCAAAAAAACATTAAAAAAACCATAAAAAACACCAAAACAAATTACAACGAAAATGGAATGTTGATTGACTCTTCATATATATATATATATATATATATATATATATATATATATCTATATATATATATATATATATAT